CTTGAGCCCGTCCCCCATCGGTTCTCAAAAATATTTTTTGGTCCATTGTTTGGCTAACGGTTGGGTTTTTTTTGGTGGAACTGACTGGGCGGGCGGTCAAGAGCGGTGGCAGGCGTCAATTATTGACATTTATTCAGTTTTTAATATTGATTGTTTGTTTAGGTAACCAAATAGTTTCCAGGAAGGTGCTTTATTTCTGATTCCCCCTTTTTGTTTTCAGTGTCCCTTCTTTTTTAATGGAGGTCTTGAATTCAGGCACAGCGGTGCATGCAATTACAGACCCTGGTAAGTACAATTGCTCCAGAGAATCGGCATCCCAGTACTGCCCGAAAGACAATTCCCGTAGCTCCAGCTTCAGCCAGCCATGAAGCTTGCCTCTTGGCTGCCTCTCAAGATCTTCCCCCCTACCATTTAGACCAACACACCATCGCCATAACCATCAGCAACCATCACTCCCTTTTCTATCATCGTGGCTATCTGGGTATCTGGCTATCTGAGCCCGAGAACGTTTAGTTGATCGACACTTTTATGTTGACGTCGTGCGCGTTGTCATCGTGGCCATCATCCTAGACGTTGCCTTCTTTTTCTTGTTCTTTGCGGTTCTGGTGCTGCGCCTGCTGTCCATTGATTGATTCCCCAGAACAATGGGGCACGCTGGAGCGCCTAGACCGTCTCTAAACTGAGGAGAGAGCTGGTGTCGAGTGGCACAGTGGGCCCAAGTGGCAGCTACAAGTGGAAAATGTGGGGAGTCTTTGTCTTTTGATTTAAATTTTATTTCAATCTAATTTCTTATATAATATATGCGTAGCTGTATCCACTATACCGATTTAGATCCAGACTTTAAAATCATAGAACCAGAGCCAAAATCCAGAGAGTTAGACGAAGCATAAAACAAACGGTGAGGCACTCAACCAAGTCGCCAAGTCCAGAGCCAAATCATTGTTTTTGGAGCTATCCAGAAGCAACAGCAGCAGCAACAGAAACAGCAACAGTTGTTGCCACTTGCAACTTTTTGTTGGTGGTGTTGCTGCCACTGGAGCATAAGGCACACCGGGACCAACTGAACCCATAAAAGTACGGGCGGGCCAGTTAAATGGAACAGGTAGGCCAGCTGTTCACGCTCTAAAAAAGCGATGACTTATTTCGTTATTCGGTTTATTTTTTTCATTTTTGTTTCGGTTACCCAGAATACGATATTTTTAACAGAGTTTTGAGAAAAAATTAAGAGGAAACTTGAGTCAGGTTGTGTCAAGCTAAATATTTACTTTGAATAATACTCAATATTAGCTAAAAGTCAAAGGTGTTGGCTAATTGCTTATCTCACATCGGTTGTTTTTAACTTTACTATGCATTTCTTATTAATTTTTTTTAATTTAATTAAATAAATGGGCTTTTTTTGAGCATTATTACCCAATAATTCAGCTGCAGTGCGTCATATCTAAAACAATTTAGGCCAGGGCTTCTTCATTCCAAAACTTATCTATTTTGGAGATATGGAAGCTCTTTGCACGAGACCACTTAGCCCTGACAACCAAAAAAAAAACGGTTTCTTTATGAAAAATGTTATTGTTTATTCATTACAATAATTAAAAAAGCAAAAACCCTAGGTTAGAAGATAAGTCACGATGCTTAAAGCCAACTGGATTATAAAAGCTAGGGTGCTATTAATAAAATTACACAACATTCTGCAATTAAACGGAATTAAATGATATTTTGTTGTAATTAGTAAATACAAGACAACCTTGGAAGCTATCATTTAATTCTTATAGTTTTTCTTTGTTTAGTTAAAGTCAGCTTTTAGAGCATATAATTGGTTCTACTTCAGTTAATTCATTAGTAAAGCAACCATATGTGATCCGCAGTAGCCTTGATTATTGAACACATGCCTGTCTAATCTTCTTCCGCAATCATTAACTTGGATGTGCTGCAGCTTCTTTCCATTTTTTGGATGTGCCCCGCCCAGCCCCGATCATTTTGCAACTTGCCCCATATCCATATTCATATATAACCCAATTAAAGGAAATTAGACAGCCAAAAATCGAGACTGCTGTCAAAAGGAAGTAATCCTATTTGGCGGACCCCTCAGCAGCTGTCAAAAAACCAGCGATTCCTACGGGTAGCTAGCTGGGGCGCACCCAAAATAATATCGGAAACCCATAAACCAATTACACTTTGTCGGTTTAGCCTGCATTGTAAGTTTTAGGTTTTCCACTCCACTCCCGGCTCTACGAATCACTATTTATGGCAATGCAAGCGCAACAAATGGAGCTGGCCAAGCCCTTATTTAAAACCGATTGACTTTTGAAGGTTTTTTTCGTTTCAATACGCATTGGAGTGTGGCGAAGCGCATCAAAACTTAAACTGTCTGTATAACTGGGGATATGGATTACAAATTTCCAGCCGACCTTAGTGGGTTGATCAGACCGCAGATAGACACGTAGACTTCCTAGTCAACAAAATCCCCAAAAGGCTAAGATGCCTGTCATTCGAGTCAGTCAAGTCAGTCAGTTAGTTGGCTAGATGGTTGGCTTGTTGCTGCCACGAGTCCGGAAAAGTCTTTTGCGGTTAGTGGGTTGCCAGAAAGTAATTTGTACCTATAAACATATCTCTTAGCAATCTTTTTCCCCGATGATGTGCATATGATCGGCAATTTTTTGCATAATCTCCAATGACTATGCACTGTCATATGATACTGTAGGTGGCACAAGTTCCGCATCGCTTTTCGGTCCTTTAGGCGATTATGCAATCGACGACAGTCATTTAAGGCATCTATGGGTCTCTCTTTCTCAATATATATATGCTTATATATATTCATGAGAAAATCACAAGGCCCGAGACCGCGAGACCGAGAGCTGGAAAAGCAGAAAACCCAAAAACAAAGGTCAAACATGTTTAAAGTGCAGTTCGAGCGGAAAATGTCACTGCACGCGCTGTCACTTTTAACTCTCAAGTCTTTTGGTCTCTCGAGCAATTGTTTTTTCCACTCAATTTCAATTGTAGGTACTGGTACTGTGTGCCGTGGGGTTTTATTTTCGGTTTTGTTTGGTTTTTGGTGGACTCTGGGGGGATGGCGACATTTTAAACAAACAAATGAACATTTTTGCGCATTGCAGTCGCACTTACAACGCCCACTTTTTCGATGGCGGGGGTGTGCAGGCGGCGGTACCCCAGACCCCAGACCGCTGACCTTAACGGCGGTACACCAACCCTTGGGTAATTTTTGCAATTGTTGTATAATAATGTCCAATTTGAGCTTGTTTTGGGCGCTGACGGGTCTCTTGATTTAGTGGATCACTTTTGGCGAGCGGAGGACTGACAGTGGGGTGGTCCAACTAATTGGTATACTATTTCCATCTGGGAAGTGGAAAGTACAGAAGACGTGAAGACCTTCCTCCCACAAGCCCTGACCTTTCTTTTCTAAAGAATTTCTCTCTCATCGCCATTCATATTTATTAAACATAATTTATATGCCAGAGTCAACTTTAATAAGGTCTTCTGTGTCCGTAAATTATAAGAATTCTTAAGGTAACCCCAACATGGTCATAAGAATGCATATGAAAATTTCTCACCGAACTCGGAAGACAATGGAAGTGCCTTGTATAGCCAGCGGGCTGGGGTGGTGGTGGTGGAGTTTCTAAGGAGCGACCTCCATTGAGAGAAACATGCATATTTCTCACACACACCCAGTGCGGCGAACAACACTTAATTGAAAACGGCATCCAAGCTATGTATAGCTTGGGCCAGAAACTACACAGAAACATAAACTTCCAGCCATCCATCCATGGTGGCAAACTAAAAAACCTAAAAGATACATTAAAAATGTTCAGGCGTAGAGAAACTTGGCGCTTCCATGTTACGATCTTCTTGGGCCAAATTGCAGTTGCTGGTGATGTTGCAGCAGCGGCAACAGTTGCTCGTTGTTTTAATTACCTTACCACCGATTCAAGCCTGCCCCCAAACAGGGTTACTACTAACGATCATCATGTGAATTCTCCGGCGATGCGCCGTACTGCATTTCCTCGCCTCAACTTTATGGCTTGGAAAAGTTTTCGGTTTTCTGGCCAGTTTTTTTTTGGTGGCGGTGGGAACGGTTACCCTAAAGTGCATTCTTCGTGGGCTTTTGGAAAGAAACACTTTCGCATTTGGCTAGAGCGACTGGGGTGTTACATTTACACACTCGGATGTAAGCCCAATACCAAGTGTGTTGAAAATTGCCATGAAATCGTTGGGCCGCCAACACTTTCACACATTATGCCTGGCAACTCGCTTCTCAGCGATGCCTTGGATGTGCTGCAGCTCATTTTGTTTTATGGCCTGTTCAATTGGATGTCAGCTCCGGGCTGGAGATACTTCAGCCCATGGGTAGGCCTGACTTTCTGGGTTGATTGAAAAGACGAGTGGGGGTTCGTCGAAAGAAAATGCTCAACAGATGATCAGGAACAGCCCATCAATCAGTGTACATCTAAGAGCACTTAACACACTGAATAGAAAATAATTTCAGTGGATCCATTTCATACTCGACTTGAAGACGAAGACTCCAATATACAATTTGCAGAAAAACACCTCTTGCAAAAATCCCATTACTTTTTATGCCTGAATTAAGAAAGAGTTCGGACTTAATGAAAAGCAATCAAAAGTTGTATACGTTTATGCGACAATCAAGCAGTTTAATGACAAGACGCGAGTATTTATCCAACGCCGCTAGATACTTTTATACAAAATCCGTTCTCCCGGGGCATAAAGTTCTCATTTCTTTTATCATAAATCATTAGAGTTAAATTAAAGTCCGAACCGGAACCGTAACAAGACGGCAAACATGGCTCGAAACGAACTCATTTGAGTGAACTTTACGGGCCATAATTCTAATCTGTAATCTGTAATCTGTGGGCACTTAAAAGTCACCAACTTGGCAGTACACGTGAGGGATTTTCGATCGGTTTATGATCCATTAAAAAAATAGAAAATATATATATATGGTTTAGTTTACAATATCTACTCACCTTTCTATGCGAAACGACGAGCGGCGTGTGATGGTGATGATGATTGTTGTTTTCGAAGGCTGTTGAATAAAAAACACAAGGCATTATGACAAATTGTAAATGAATAAATGGCATTAAAAATAATCTATAAATTGGGTAACAGGAGTTAACGGGAAATCATTGAGTTGGCCATAAACGAGTCAATTGCAATTAAGCAGAAAATAAAACAACAGAAAAATTTGTTCACCTTTCCAATTGCATTTTTTTCTCGTTTTTTTTTAATATGCAAACATTTCGAATGCCTCCTCCCAACTACTACTCCCCCTTTTTCCAGCCCCTGTTGAACTCTCTATTTTCTTGGCTCTGCAACTTCCGCACTTGATGGCCAAACCCAAGTCTGATGCAAAAAATACGAGTAAGTGCAGAAAAAACAGCAGAAATTGTAACAGAAATAACAAATAACAAAACTCGGAACGGGTTCAGCAATCATAAACTTGTTGTGCAGACAGACATATAGAGGGGGGCTTGGACTGGGCGGTAAGCAGGTGACTGGGCGTGGCAGTCCGCACACATGGCCAACAACTGTTTGGCGGAAAATTGTCAATGAACAGCTCCGCCAGCAATTGTATTATAACTTATATCTCTATAAGCGACAGACATAACGCGCCTGGCATTTTGTTAAACAATTAAATGCAATTTTCAAGTAAATAAAAAATAGTTGACTCAGCCAGTCAGCCGCTAACCGAACACCACCAGTCCAAGGTGGCAGTGTTTGATTTGCTGACCGGCCGGCTTTTGATTACAAACTGTCTGCAGATACTGAAGGGGGGGTACGTATCATGGCCCAGCAATTCCACTTTGTGGTTTATTAAGCGTAACTGACTGACTGACCGACCGGTTGCTACACCCAAAATATCCGCCAACTTAAAAGCCAAACAATAAATAAATCAGCGGTAGAGGAAAATACATAAAATATCCAACAAGCCAGCTTGATTTGGTTAGAGATAATAAAAACAATGAGGAGTTTGTTTATTTTAGTTTAGTCTTTTTTATATTCACTAGATGGTTAATTTAAATAAAGTACTATACATTTTTGAGGTCTCTTGTTCCTCAAATACCCTCTCATATTTATAGGTTTAAAAAAATGAATTATTACCAATCCACCTTAACATTTACCATTTTAATTGAGGTTACCCACTTGTTCTTTAAAAAATATATTCATATGTATGTCAAAAAAAGAAATAAAATATGATACAATCCCAGACCCCATATGAATCATACAGTCATATCCCATGAATTACTGACATTTCGTGATCTTAACTCTTTTGATCCAGCCATTGTGTCGGTTCCGCATTAAACTCTTGACCTAACCACAGGTTAGTGGAATTTTGCGGGTCACACAACCAGAACACAGTTTTCGGAAATAAACCAAAAAAATAATAAACATATGAAAAACAGAAATGGGAAAGAAACCGAAAGTTGTATACTCTTGCTTTTTATTCAAAAGAGGCTAAGTTCTTATTTCTTATTTCACCCCCTTGAAAATCCTGAAAAATGCTTTGGGGTCAATATGACCCACTGCGAAGACCATATCTTTGGCAATTTACATCCGATTCTCAAGCGGAATACCTTAAACGATTTGTACATCGATTGTCCATAAATCTGCATCAAAATCTAGAAACAAAATATTTTTCAGATTTTTTGTCAAATTTTCCGATGGACCCCCTTCAAAATCCTAAAAAATGCTTGGAGGTCAATATGACCCACTGCGAAGACCACATCTTTGGCAATTTACATCCGATTCTCAAGCGGAATACCTTAAACGATTTGTACGTCGATTCTCCATAAAACTGCATCAAAATCTAGAAACAAAATATTTTATAGATTTTTCGTCAAATTTTCTGATGGACCCCCATTAAAATTTCTATAAAATGCTTTGGGGTCAATATGACCCACTGCGAAGGCCATATCTTTGGCAATTTACATCCGATTCTCAAGCGGAATACCTTAAACGATTTGTACATCGATTGTCCATAAATCTGCATCAAAATCTAGAAACAAAATATTTTTCAGATTTTTTGTCAAATTTTCCGATGGACCCCCTTCAAAATCCTAAAAAATGCTTGGAGGTCAATATGCCCCACTGCGAAGACCACATCTTTGGCAATTTACATCCGATTCTCAAGCGGAATACCTTAAACGATTTGTACATCGATTCTCCACAAATCTCCACCAAAATCTAGAAACAAAATATTTTTTAGATTTTTTGACAAATTTCCTGATAGGTTGATGTTGAGAAATGATGCCCCATGTCTAAAAATGCTTTTTGGAAAATCATAATACCTATTGCAAGAGTATAAAGCTAAAGGAAATAATACGAAACATGGAAACCTCACAAAAATAAGAGATGAGCTCGAGTGCCCCAGCATGATATCATTAAATTACAATGTGTTTTTGTCTCTGGCTTAGGCTGTCCATCACTTTCGCAGGAAATGAGGCAAGCGAAAAAAAGGTAAATTTTTCGGGAAAGAGGAGCCCCGTCCGTCTTTTAGGCAAATTTATCCCAAAATACCAACATGGACAAGACCCCACCAAATGCCACATGGAACATGGCGCGACTTTATAATTAAATAATAAATTTCAAACTCGCAGGCAGACAAGAAGGCACTCGGTTCCAGTTAATAATTAATTGACATTTAGAAAAGAATTTCAAACGGATGACAAGAGAGGAAGCCCGAAGAAGCTGAAGCTGTCGAAAATTTGCGCAAATTTGGGTTTTATTAAATGCTTGATTTATGAGACAGCCGTAACGTATTTTCTGAGCTTGGGATATGAAAACATGTGCAACTGATTGATTTTTATTGAATGAGTTAGCGAGCGTTACAATTTAAATACTCAACGATGTCTGAAAAGGCTTAAGAGAACATCTGTGAATAATTTCCATATGCTGGGATGAAAGATCAGGTCATCACTAGATTTGGCAATAAACATAACTTGTGAAGTACCTCCCACCAAAGCAATAAGATAACCTTATTAAAACCCAAACAAAAAGCCTATGTCCTCATTTTATTAAGGATTATCTAAATTTATAAACTCAATAGCCCAAAACAAGCACGAAAACGCTTTTTCCCTATCTGAGAATGAATCACCTTTTGGCCAATGCGTCAATTTTGAGTTACTGGATTCAACAATTCCCACCAAAAAAATGGGATTCTACTTTCATAAACACGAGTGTTGTGTACTTTGTACGCTTTTGAGGAAAAAAAAAAAAAAATAATAAATTAACGAGTCCATTTCGATAAGATTAGATTGTTAAAAAGGCATGGGCCGTTCAAATTGGCACAAACGAAGTTCAGGGGAGAAAATTGCATTTCCGATTGGAAAATTGCGAAAAATAAAAATAATAATAAAACTAGTCTTAGTCTCAGGGTCAGACAATGGACTTTCCAGTCGAATCCAATTAATAATAATAAAGCCAAAGCACTTTGTCAGACTGACTTTCAATTGTTAGCCTTGCACAGGCTCGACAATCTCATCATCCCAATCCTCCTCCACTTGCATTTCATCAGGTTCAATAGAAAACTATATAATAAAGTATGAAAAAATAGTGGTTGCTGTGGTGCTATGTGGTTGAGGTGGTGCCGGAGTGCTGGAGTGCATGGCTCTGATGGTTGACCAAGTGGCCTTATGGCAATTTACTTTCTAATGTCAAGAAAGTCATGTGCAAGTCAAAAACAACATCGGCCACAGACTGAGTTGCTTATTTGATTTTTGCACTTTTTCTATAAATATATACATTTTTTGTAAGAAATTGATAAATAATCTAGGCAAAAAAAAACACGATGATATCTATGCAGATTTCTTTCGCTTTTATCCAAGTTTACCGAGCTTCGCAAAATAAATTAGAAAAAGCAAAACCCAAGAGGGAGAGGCGTCAAAATGTAAAAATCGTCGGCACATTTAAAAACCATATTTTGTGCTTTTTCACTCTGCTTTTTCTACTTTGTTTTAACCAATAATTTAAATCATTTTTGGTTTTGCTTGGAATGCTTGTGGCATGCCGGTAATTTGCCTTACAACATTTTCAAGTCATATGTATATTAAAACAAAAAAAAAAAACAATATTTATCAATCAAATGCGGGCAATGAGCTGTTGATGAGTTTCCTACCTTTCCGCCAAATTATTTCAGTTTTGTTTTGGTTACAATTAAGTGCATGCCGAGTCTCCTCATTCAAATTATTAATTAATTAATAAGCGCAGATGAGTAATGAATCAGGAAATGATAGATAGTTGGCAATTAAGTTAATAACGGGCGTTGGTTTTTAGAGTGGTTACTTAACCGATTTCCCAATAATTGACCGGAACAAAGAATCCATAACAATTGCGTCAAAATGTTGTATCCATAGGCTAAAGTTTAAAATTTTCCCATAATTTTATTTCAAATATTACTACATCCCGGCTATCATTAACCAAAATCATGGTTCCCAGGCGGCTTTTTTGGGGTTCATTGTGTAATTTATTGAGTACCGCTGTTTTACATCACAAAACAATCCACAATATGGAATCATATCCCTCATAATCCAATAGAGGGACTAAACAATCCAATTGTGACCACAGTCTAGTAACAATTCCTAGATATGCCCAATCACCTGAAAGGCATTCCGAAGTAAGCCAGTAAACCACAATGTCCATGATCGCTATTCTTCAATTATCGTGTGTTGGGGGCTATTGCATAAGGGTCTCGGAAAATAGTTCCAACAATGGGTGGACACAAAAGGCTCCCTTGCTATAAAGATAGAAATAAAAAACAAAAAAACCTGGGCCGAACCGCTTTAAATGTCACTCTTGCTTTCATCTTTTGTGCTACAAGTGAAAGAGAAAAAAATTATAAATGTTTATGGCCCCTGAATCCAAATTAAAATCGACAAATAGACGAACAAATTCATAAAATATGCAGACTATGCAAATTTGCCACTAAATTAAAATAGTTTCAAGCCAGGCCAAAAAGCCACTGAAGACGCCGGCTATCCGTATCTCTATTCCTCACTATGCGCATGCGCATATACCAACTCGTCAACA